ACGTTGGCTTGGATTCTCACTGGTTTTGCCTTCAGATTTATCGACTCACTTGCTTTCTTGGGTTGGTGTTGGCTGTAGTAAAAGAGAAGGAATATGCTTATTAATTATCTGGGTAAGTACAGTGTGGTCTTTGTGGTTGCATAGAAATAGAATTATATTTTCCAATGGTGTTTTGGATGAGAAGGAAGTCTTAGATTCTATTATTCTGAGATCCTGGAAATGGTTTTCACTTGTTAGTAAGGGAAAAACTATTATGTTAGCTGATTGGTATTTGAACCCACGAAATTGCATCTGTCTTAATTTTGTATAAGTATATTTTTGCTTTTTATTTCTCTGAGTAAGTAATTTTTTGTGTATATGGGTTTTGAGTTCCCCTTGAACTCTTTTTAATAAGATTTGTTTTGCCTATAAAAAAAAAAAACAAAAATACCTCCGTACATTTGTTTTTATAATTCAATAATAAAAACATAATAAAGATATAATAATAACTATAATTTTATAAAACTTAATATTTTTAGTTTTATCTAATTCTTCCTAAATTAGAGAAAATAAAAACTGAGAATAAGAATGGAATATAATGAAACGAAACGGTTCTAAACAATGAAATAAAATATTATCTGTTACCACTTTGTTCCATCGAGTTACATTTTATCAATCCAATGACATTAGTACATTTTTAAGGGAGTTAAAATATAGAAATATATTACCAATATATATTTTATCACACATTTTTTTTAGCATTGTCTAGTTATTAGCTAAAATTATTAATAACCATCAAAATATAAATTTAACCCTTATTTTAATATTTATTGATTCTAATTTAACGACTTTCATTTATAAATTTTAATTGATACATCTAAAAAATATGTTATCAGCATATATGATACTTTGAGGACAAAAATAGGTCGATATAGGTCATACTTTAAGTCACTCTAACACTTTATCTCATAAACTGAACAATTCCTTAGTATCTTGAAAAAAAAGTTAAATTATAAATTTAACTTCTATATATAAAATAATTTTTTTAAAATTTGGTCATTACATAAAAAAATATTACAATTTAATCTGTACATAAATAAATATTTCTCGTTAAAATTCATTGATAACGTTGGACGGAAGAGAAAAATGACATTCGTATAAGTATAAATTTTAATTATAAAAGATAATTTGTAAATAAATGTTAATTATCTAAACTAAATATGTATTTTGACTAGAATTTTAAGAAATAAACTTTATTTAAAAAAAGTACTGAATGAAAATATTAAAAAATTTTAAAAATAAAAAACTTATATTTTTAAAAAATAGAAATAAAAAATTAATTTTTTTGTTAATAAAAAAAAAGAGTACCTATACCCGAAATCAACATAGGTGGGTAAGTAAAAAATACTTAAGAGCGTGAGACAACTTTTTTTAAGGAATTTGGTAAAATAATCCTGTAATTTCGAAACGGATACCTCCTCACAGAGGGAGTTGCAGTGACCAGGTCCAAGCGATTGTTTACTAAAAACACAGGTCTGTAAAGTCGTAAGACCATGCATGGAGGCTAACACTTGCCCAATGTCAGAAGGTCAAAGAAGTTGGTGACTTTTTTAACCATTAAATTTAAACAACTAAATATAGTAAAATTTTATTGAAAAGAAAAATATTTATTGCTTTTTAAATGTAATTAAATGTGTACTCTAACTAAAAAAAATAAAAAAAAGGAGTTTGTTTAAAAAAAATGAAATATCAAATAAAAAAATCAAAAAGTTTTAAGAGACTACAAATTTTTATATTTAAATAAACTTATATATATATATATGAAAGGATCTTCTTATACTAGTGTAAGTTTAAATATTCTTATACGTTTTTTATTTAACTTAAATATAATGGATTATTATTTATTACTTAATTGACCGTTAGATTTAAGTTAAATAAAAGGTATGTAAGAGTTTTTAGAAGTGTAAGAAGATCCTGTCCTCTATATATATATATATATATATATATATATATATATATTAATTTTATATTTCAAATATAATAAATCTCTTCCTTCTTATAAAGATTTTTTCAATAAAGTTTATTTTTAAAATTCTGGTCAAAATACATATTATTTTTAAAATTTTTTATTATATTTACTTTTGCAGACTTTGAAAAACATTGGCACACAACTTACAATTCAATAAAAGTAACAAAAGTTTATTTTAATATTTTATCTTTAATTTTAAATAAATAGTATTATAATATATAATATTTGATTTTAATATGTTAATGTCAAAATATTGTATTATATTTATATTTTTGGTACTTATTGTAATTTTACAATATATTTGATTTGTTTTTAATTAATATTTTATAAAAAATGTAAAAATTATATTTTAATTTTTTTATTCATATATTTTAGTTTACTAAAAACTGAACATATAATAGCAATTTAGGTATCTAAATATGTATGAAAATAAAGATAAAAATAATTATCCAACTTTGCATAAAAGTGTGTACAAATATTTTTTTTCACACACACCCACACACATAAAACCTACCAATAATATATGAAAGCTATACGAATAGAAAATGACCCATATATATACTTTGTTTTGTCAATTTGCTTTAGACAAACTTTATCTGTTTAGCTAAACAAATATGAATCTAGTACTTTGCTAAGGTATCCAACAATAAAGTATGCATTAATGAATTCACGATACTTCTAAGAAAACTAAAACGGGAAAATAATTATACATAAACGATCAATTTATTTTAAACCAATTTAAAACTTTAGATAAACGCAGACATATATACAGAAATGACACATACACGTTCTTAATTTTATCATTTTACTTCTAACAACTATATTAGTTTTGCAAAACAAATTTAAACTAACATTTTGTTAAGGAATCTAACATTAAAGTGTATAAGAATCAGTACTCTTCATGATACGTTCCTTCTAAGATATTGCTAACGTACATTTTATGATTGAGTATAGCACATATGACTAATTAATCGAATTGGGTAAAATATTCTTTCTAGTTGCATATGATATTTTGTTAAGATATCTAATATTAAGTGCTTGCTTATTATTCATAAATTTGAGAGTGTATTTTATACACTATTTAATTAAAAGTTGTGATTTCTAATATTTTAAAAATGAAAGAATATTAATATCTTTTTTTTAACTAAATCACTAATTTTATTATTTATTAATATAAAATTAATGATCAAGATCAAACCCTCTCAGTTATAAAGTTACTATAGATTTTACCTATTAAAATTTATAATAATATTTTATCGATGATATGTTCCTTCTAAGAAACTGCTGCCGAATAATTTATGGGGATTGCGCATAAACGGTTCTCTCTCTTTGTCAAACACTTTGTTAGTATACACAACGTATGTATATAATGTCAACAAATTTGTTTTCTTTATGCCTTTCTTGTGATTTAGTAAATGAAATTACTACGAAGTTTCTTGCAACATAATATTTTGGGAGTATCTATGTTATATTACTACTCTAATATGTATTTATATATTGTTAAGAAAAATAATTTTATATAAATATTTCTATTATTAATATTATTTATAAATGTATTTTTAAAAAAATAAATGAGAAAAATAATAGGAATGAAAATAGACACATGTTGTCTATTTAAAAGATTAATAATTTTTTTATTAAATATAATTTATGATTAATTTGTTATTTTTATTTTTAAATGCACCAACATTAAGATAATTTGTGTTACCAATATTATATGTGACTATAAGTATTTAAAAGTAAAATAATTATAAATTTTATTGTAAATTCATCTAATAATAAGTAATTGTAATTAATTTTACATGCTATCAATATCAATATTACGTATGACTCTAAGTAATTTAAAAGTTAATAATTATAAATTTTATTATAAATATATATAGTAGTAAGTAGCTATGATCAATTTTACATAAATTTTGTTATGAATTCAGATAATAATAAGTAAACGTAAATCAACTTTACCTATAGATATAAATACTTAATTAGACGTATCATTCACATAAAGTAATTAATTTCACATATAATTAAAGAGTGTTGTGATATCCTAAATCCCCGAAAGAAAAAAAAACACGAAAATTTCATCGTCATTTCCTTTAAACGTCCTATTTGTAATAAACGAAATTTTAGTCCTTCGATACACGTCGCTGAACTTGAATTTTAATGAATGCAAAGGAAAATGAGCATCACCAATATTGTACGAATATTGTAATAATTTAAAGCAAAATTTTGATTTTTTTTTAAATGAAGGTGTATTTAGATGATAAAATGCAAATACAGTAATATACTGTAAATTAATACTTTCAATAAAAGTACTAACCATTAACTATTTTCTTCTTTACGTTGTTTAATGACAACAGTTTCTTAGAATATAAATCTTACGTTAGATTGAGTTAGTATTATATAGTACAAGATCAGAACTTATTTTTGGCCCAAGAAAATATTCTTTTCTGAAATTTAATTTAACACAATTAATTCCAAGATAAAACGTTAATGGTAAGTTAATGAAATACATTCAAATATTTTTTTATAAATAAGGAATGTTTTCAAATATTTAAAAATTACTTTGTAAAAATAATTAAATCTTATAATTTGTTGAAATTTCTAAATTATATTTATACAATAACAAAACCAGAAAAGGTATGGAGTGAATATAGGATTGAAACAGTTAAACTCTTAAAGGTGTAGAAAGAAAATGAAACACGACGGGAAATGATTTTTACAGTATGTCTTTTATTGTAGAAGGAAACGTTTGTGTAAAAAATTTGTTAGAAGATCTGACGTGAAACAAGCGTATTAGAAATGGAATAAAGGAAAAAAGAGAACAATAGGAAAAAGCAATTTAATTTCTTTGAAGTAAAATAAAAAAATTAAAAAAGTATCTATGACTAATTTAAATTAAAAGATTTATATGATCAATAATTAATAAATCCTTACCTTGACACTTCATACACCTTGTGACTTTAAAAGAGTGGGATCACAATTATTCATATTCATACCATGTGTGTGAAAGAGATTGGGTTCCGTCTTAGGCCAATTCCCAAAATTGCTATAATTTTTCGGCTGCAACCTTCAACTCCCACTGGCCATATGCATGATTACATATATTCTTTTATGCAATATTTCTACCCATTCACACCATCTCACACTCACACACACCCCATTCCATTATTAGCTGCCTCTCCATAACCTTCTTCCCAATACTCCCTCTCTCTATATTCTCCTTAAAAAGCCTCACTCTGTTCAAACCTTCTCACTTCTATAGCAAAACTCAATCTTCCTTTAATTTTTCTCTCTCACTCTCTACCTATCTAAAGTCTAAACCATGGGGTTCAGAAGATGCACTGTTTTGATCTTCGCAATGATGGCATTACTTGAGATTCAGATTTGCACATCGGAGTTAAACCGGGCAAACTTTCCAAATGGGTTTGTGTTTGGCACTGCCTCCTCAGCTTTTCAGGTTCGTACCACTAATTTATAATTTTCCCTTTCAATTTCTTATATTGATTATAAAATGTGATATCGGTGTGTCTTTTCTCTTTCATTAAAGAATAGCAATAACTTGGACATGTCTACATCCTTTTGCTTTTGTGAGATGCTTTTCTTCCGCGACGTGAATGAGCGGTTACCGCAAATGAATGAGGAGAATGAGGAGAGATAAGAATGAAAAACGAGTGAATAAGAAAAAAACAATTGCTTTAGCATGAACTAATTAATTGGTCGATAACTATTAACTAACTTTGTCACTCTCTGTGCCTTATTCCTTCGTCACATGAGAAATAGGGTACAACATTATTAGATAATAATATAATTAAATATTTATTTAATAAAATTTTAGTGTAAGTAATTTATATTATAATTTTAATCATAAAATTATTTTCATAAATTTGGTATGAGATCTTATAAACATACTCATAATATATTACAATGAAGTAGAGCCGCAAAAATTTCAAATTCGGTTTGATAAATGGTTTAGTGAATAAATAATTCCACTTTTTATAGTGGGAGATACACCTCCATAAAAGGGGGGTTTTACGTAACCACATGTGCTCCGATGATTAATCTTAGGATTCTCTCTGTCAAATCCAGTGACGGAAATGAGAGTCAATGTATTGACTACATTTTTATGATATTATCGATCGTTCATCTACGAAAATATAAACGGTTAGTTGGAAACTTTTTTCCTTTTGATGCCAGCCATGTGTTTGTCTGTTAAAAATAAATATATGGTGTGCAGTAGATCATTCATCGTTTAAACACATTTATTGTAGATGCTTCTTAACCATATTTCTGGTGCAGTTCCAAATTGCATGGCTGATAAATTTTGAATTGATATATATTTGTCAAGAAGCAAAATTTTGAAGGCCATGATCATGTACAGTTAATTGTATGAAAAAGCTGTAAGGGGATTCAGATCCTTGGTTTGTGTGATGCTCTTTGCGTTCTGACCCGTGAATCCCTAACTAGCTGCCAAACCTTTGAATTTGAGGATATTCATTGAGTGTCGTGTAAGATCTGCACAGAAATTCAATTTATAAATAAGTTTGATCCAAATTACTGCTTACTAATCCAGCTACAAATGTTCATTTTTATTTATTTTTTGGAGTAAAATCTTAGTTATAAAACTTATGTTAAAATCATAATTTTGTGATGGTATGATAAGTTTTACATTTAATAAGTTAAAATTAAATTCTAAAAATGTCAATTTTTTTTTCATTTATTTTAATTTGAATGACTTAAGTCGCATACTTAGATCTGATGAGTGATTTTATTATTAAATTTTTTTTTATAAATATAAAAATTTAAACTCAAAATTTTATTTAAACTACACTAAACTCTTTGCTACTCAAATTAACATTCGTTACTCATAAAAATGCATTTTAGTTGAAAAAGACAAATTACTTATAATAATTGAGATTATTCAGTTTATATGTTCAAGTATTGTTGTGCTTCTTCCCATAAATATCCTTATTATTCACTTTAGTTAGATATTCTTGAGAATGTTCAACGAATAAGATATTCTTAAGCATTTTCCCTCACATTACTTTTATTTTAATTTTTTTTTATATTTATCAACTTTTATCTTATAAATAAGAATACTGAATATAAAAGGTGACATATTTAGTAAAATTATTTTCTTTTACAATTAGTTATCTGTATTTTTTAAGATTAAATTTTATTGATAATAATGTGTGAATTATGCGTTCTTTCATTGTTGCAATTGATCAATTTTTATTTAAATTTTTAAATAAAATTATTACTTATTTTTTTTATTACCTTATATAACATTCTAAATTTTTATGAATATTTATGTTTATATTTATAAAAAATATATATTACCTTATATTTTGTGGTTAAATTTAAGTTAAAATATTTTTAAAATATTGTTTAAAATAATTTTATTAATTATTTTAAAAATTTATAAAATTTTATACTTTAATTATTAAAAAATTATTTTAGAATAAAATACTTGATGATTTAACTTTATTTGTTTGGTTTGAACCAGTACGAAGGTGCGGTGAAAGAAGACGGAAGGGGACCATCTGTGTGGGATACTTTTTCACATACTTTTGGTAAGTTCCTAAATATGAAAGCATATTTATATTAGATATTCATCATATTAGTTTGTTATTCATTCTATCACCAAGCCTATACATAAATTGTAATGGTTAAATACAACTATATACTAAAAATTAAGAAAATTTTGTTATGCATAATAAATATATATTGTTTAATTTGAAATTGATAAAATATTTAATATGTTATGATTGTTATCTGAGTATTATTATCTCAGCCACCGACGAATATCAGAAATCGTAAATTAAAAATATATATTTTTTGAATAGTAACATAAAGTTATACTTTATTATTAATTTTAATTGGCTTTCCTGTTTCATACTTAATTGTTTCAATTATTCCCGTAAATAAATGAGATTGATGTCTAGTAATTCACTTCAGTGAAAGCGCGTGAATATCATTGACAGTGCCTAAATTATGTTTTCTGATATTTGACTGATAGGGTCTTAAAAAAATTGAAAATTTCAATTACTAATGAAAATATTAAAAAACTAATCAATAGACAGATGCCAAAAAGAACCAAAAGTGATTCTTTTTAATAATTTATAGTAAATATATCTTCTATGATTTTAATATAGGCCACTACAATTTTTAATATAACTTTTTTACTTTCAATTCATTAACCAATGTTCCAAGGACACTGATGAGTAAAATCCTAATCAATAACAATTATATAATTTATTTTAAAGGTATACGTAATATTTATCATCAATCATTTAGATTCCTCTCGACCCTTTAAATTTTGGTCATCATTTGTTGTTCTCTGCCGTTTCTAATGCTTATAGGATTGTTAATATGGTGAGGGATTTTGTTGTGAAGTGGTATAAATCATAACACGTGTTACCGATTTGGAGATTTTGTGGTAAATGGTGATGTTACATCTCGGATAATTACATTATTATAACGAGCCCATTCACTTAGGCTTCAATTGAATAATCCTTTGGGTTGCTTTTTCACCTTTTTTGTTTTAACATCATAATAATTTTTTAAAAAATATTCCTAACAATAATTTAAATTATTAAATAAAAATATATTCTGAAATTAATCAACTTCTAAATTCATCTATTTTTTTTTTCAAAATTTAGCTTTATTGATATTTTATCACCACATCCTTTAAATGTATTATATATATATTGATTGTTTTCTAATGATATTTTTATTGATTTTTGTTGACCTATCGACCTCAACACTTTTTTGAGATTAAATTTTTAAAATTAGAGTTTTATATTTTTAGAAATTAATTTTTAAAATTATTTTTTAGAATTAGGATTCTACAACTCCATACATAAAAATTTGTAATTGATTTAATTTTTCAATTATTAATTATTTTTAAAAATTAATTTTTGAAATGAAAATTTTACAATTTTAATAATCAGTTTTTGAAATTAAATTAATTTTAAAATTTAAGTTTTCACACTTCTTGAAATTATTAACTAATTTTGGGAATGAATTTCTAGAATTAAGATTACGTTTCTAAAAATAAGTTTCTAGAATTAAGATTTTAAACATTCACAAATTAATTTTTTTCATACGTCTAGAAATTAATTTTTGAAATTAACTATTTCTAAAATGATTTTTTAAAGGGTTTTATTAGTTTAAAATTTAGAAATTAATTTTCAGAAGCTCACTTTAAACATATTTTTAAACTTTGAATTTTACACAAATTAAAAAAATAAAAAAATAAATCAAATTTATTTATCATCATAAAAATAATTTAAAAATTATTTTTTTAATGAAGTGTGAAAATAATAATAAAAAAGGGTGGAAAACAGCTCTCTCATCCTTACTCCTTTACTGGGAAAAAAACAGAAGGGCCAAAGTCCAAAATCATCATTACTCATTAGAATTAGAATTACTTTAGTTTCAATTGAATAGTGCGGTTGTATTAAAGTTGCTATTGAATGTAGATATCGTAATAGTGTTTGTAAGGAAATTAGCGTTTTAAACAGTTTTTTTAAGTGAATAAAAAGGTTAGATAAATTGAATTCTAAGAACTCACCGAGGTTAGGACATGCCATAAAAAAAAATTCAATTTTTCTTTTTATAGATTATCCATTAATGATCTCTTTACAGCAATAATTATTTGATTATTTATTATACCTCAGCATATTTATCCTACCCTTCCTCCACATAATATATATTTTGTAAAAAATATTTATCACCCGATTTTTTTTATAATAGAGCAGTTTTATTTGACAAAAAAATCAATACACTAGTTAAAAAATTTAAGTATGGATTTATTTAAATATTTAGATGGTATGTTAATAAATGAGATAGTTACAAAAAAAAATAGTGCTTTCTTAATTATTTGAAGTTACAAATATTTTTAATTAAACAAAAAGACCATAAGTAACAGACAGAAGGAGTGCTTTTTCACTCGTTTGATGTATATTCAGAAATTAATTAATCCTTCGGCGTCTCAAACGCCTGAGAAGTAAGGAATTCTTAATATATCAAAATGTGGGTTGATCATTACCTTATATTTTGTTGCAGGCAAGATAACTGATTTCAGCAATGCTGATGTTGCAGTGGATCAGTACCACCGATTCGAAGTACGGTAAAAATTTGGAATCTGCTTTTTCAGTAATTTTGCAACTTATCTACACACACACACATGAAGAGTTAAAATACAGTCGATTAAGATCTTGGTTCAATTATGTCTCTAAGATAATTAAATGCCTTTACAAAATATAACCGGTTTATGAGCTTGAACTCAATTGCCAGACACTCTTGTAATGTAATGGCTTGCTTTATGGAAAGAAACTATTTCATAATAAATCCAGTTCAACTATAGCTTCAACCCTGGGTCAAAGGTCGTGTTTGTTTCTGAACATTGCATATTGTTTTTCCATGCAGGAAGACATTCTACTGATGAAGGATTTGGGGGTGGATGCCTATAGATTTTCCATTTCTTGGTCTCGGATTTTCCCTAGTAAGCATTTTTCATACTGTTTATCTCAATAAGCAATTGGTTTAATGCTATGTACTACCATTGAGTTGCTTTATGTGATGTATCTCATAACTCAGTGTAGTAGTTAACAAATGTTAACAGCACTGCAGATCGTGGTTTAAAATTTTAGGGTGTATGAGTATACTATGTTATAGCCCCCCTTTCTGGATTACAAACAAAAAATGTTGCTGCACATCAAGTTAAAAAAGAGTATAACCCTTTTGTGTATCTGTTGAATATTTTTAACACATTATTTGATTGATCAAAATGTATATTTCTAGCTACTTTCAAAGTTTCAGTTTAAGTGTGCATTATTTTAAGAAGATGATCTGAATCAGAAATATTTCATGTGTTAGAGGGATCTGGCGAAATCAATCAGGCAGGAGTTGATCATTATAATAAACTCATCAATGCTTTACTAGCCAAAGGTAACTCTCAATAATCATTATCAATGTGCAATTGTTACAATTCTCTATTTTAGCTGTGACTAGAATAAATTAATAAAAGTTCCATATATGAATCCTGTCTACATCTTTAGTGTTCAGAATTATATGTTACTTCTGATCACTATTTATTGGGATCCAAGATGCTTTCAATGCTCTGATTGCTTGATCCATTACATTTGCAGGAGTAGAACCGTACGTGACCCTCTATCACTGGGACCTACCTCAGGCGTTGGAAGACAAGTACAATGGATGGCTAAGCCCTGATATCATGTATAGAATGTTATAAATCATTTAAACATGATTATACTGTATTATAATTCTGGTAAAAAGAAAACATGCTTATAGTTATATGATTCTTGTGTGCTACAGAAAGGACTTTGCAACTTATGCTGAGACATGCTTCCAGAAATTTGGAGACAGGGTGAAGCACTGGATCACATTCAATGAGCCCCATACATTTGCCACACAAGGGTATGATGTTGGTCTACAAGCACCTGGACGGTGCTCCATTCTCCTTCACTTGTTTTGTAGGGCAGGGAACTCGGCTACTGAACCTTACATTGTTGCTCACAATGTCCTACGCTCGCATGCAGTAGTAGCAGATATTTATAGGAAAAAATATAAGGTAAAGTTATGGATATGATGAAGACTTAAATTAAGGAAGAAATGAATTTTATTCTTGTAGTTGTAATTAGTTAAGTTGGAATCTTATAAAGCAAGAGAATGACTTTGATATTGAAAGTTTTTCAGTTAGTCATCTGTATTAGATATTTTTTTAGTCATTGGATTGCTTTTAAACATAATACAAGAGTAGATTTGCTCCTTGTGCAATCAAAAAGCCTAAATACTAATAAATAACCTGGTTATTCCACAGAATATACAGAGAGGATCACTAGGGATAGCTTTTGATGTCATTTGGTATGAGCCAGCAACAAATACCCAAGAAGACATTGATGCAGCTCAGCGAGCTCAAGATTTTCAGCTGGGCTGGTAAGTCATTCACATAGTACCTCATTGGAATTTCCATATTTTTTAAGGGCATTAATGAGTAGCTCAAAAGAAGAAAAAAAAAAGGAGTTGCAAAAATGACTCACCTTTTGCCCGCATTTGAAAATAAGGCCTAAATATGTCTTCATCGTGTTTACATGTTAAAACGAGAAAGAAAGAAAAATAAAGGTCATAACTCAAACTAAATTGTTTGATATCTTAATGACAGGTTTCTTGATCCTTTGATGTTTGGGGATTATCCAAGCTCAATGAGAAGTAGAGTAGGAAGCAGGCTTCCAAACTTTACACAATCCGAGGCTGCTCTTGTTAAGGGTTCATTAGATTTTGTGGGAATCAATCATTACACCACATTTTATGCAAGAAACAATTCTACTAATATAATTGGAACTCTGCTCCATGATTCCATTTCAGACTCCGGTGCCATTACCCTTCGTAAGTTTTAGGCCAAACAGTCCGAAGCAATGAATTTTTAGTTTTGGCTTTTCCTTTTTATACTTAATAATCTAGCAATCATTTACTTTATCGGAGTGATTTTTAATTTTTCTGTTTGTACTGCCACTAAGTTACTGTTTTCCTTCCCTTTGGTTTCAGCATTCAATGGTACTAAAGCTATTGCAGAAAAGGTAAGTCACAAGTGAATCCATTTTTCTTTTAATTTTAAACTAATTCAGATAATGTAAGGACGATTGATTAAAAATTTTCTTGAGAAATAAACCATAATCAGATTGTATTTTGCTACTGAAAGCTACTTAGCTAGAGCGTACAAAAAAAGCCTTTGTAATAATAATTAAATGGTTGCCAGCAAAACATGTGACATAATTTAGAGCCCAGTCCTTGGCTTGTTGTTCTTATTGTACTTAAATTTCATGTTATATTATAATCAACCACAAAAAGTTTAGGTACTTCAGTGCTTATATCTCAATTAGTTTTCTTTTCTTTTTTTTTTCGGTGAATGCTATAATCTGTAAATTCTGACTTGCAGGCAAATTCTATATGGCTATATATTGTGCCACAAAGCATGAGAACCTTAATGAACTACATCAAACAAAAGTATGGGAACCCACCTGTATTTATCACCGAAAATGGTAATCTTCAAACTCATATACTGCATAAACTCCAGAGTGCAATTTGGCACTAAGAAATTTAAGTCAGCAGTGATGCACTATAGTATTTTTACAGAGCTAGTTATCATGATACAACAATAACAATCAAGCCTTATCCCACTAGTTATCATGATATGATTTCAAAATTAAACAGAAGAAGCTTAAAATCTTTTATCTCTAATTCTTGGCGTATTAGTTTATGTGTATTTCCATGCCCCTTAATTTGCAATTATATTTTCCGTTTTTTTTAGAACTTTTAGTTGTTGTCAAAACAACAGAATATAAATGCCTGCAGAGAGTAAAAAAGTTGTAAGCTAATCTTTTTTTTTTCTTGGCTGTAACAGGGATGGATGACCCCAATAGTCCATTTATCTCCCTCAAGAATGCTCTGAAGGATGAAAAACGGATTAGATATTATAGTGGCTATTTATCCTACTTACTGGCCTCTATCAAGTAAGTAATAGTTATTTTTCTTACTTAGTGTATTAGAATTCCATGAACACCATTTTTAATTTTAAGTCAATGAACTAATGAAGTAATGATTTGGTTGTGACTGCAGAGATGGTTGCAATGTGAAAGGCTATTTTGCATGGTCACTACTGGATAACTGGGAGTGGGCAGCTGGGTACTCCTGTAGATTTGGTCTGTATTTTGTTGATTACAAAGACAACCTCAAGAGATACCCCAAACAATCAGTCGAATGGTTCAAGAACTTCTTGAAACCAACTAAATAACTATGAAGATTTGAGTAAAGTTGTATTTGGAAGCATAAAAAAATGTATTTGATTAGATCATTTGAATTGAATTAATTTAATTTAAAAAATAGATTATATGTTGGAAATTTAATATAGTAAAAGTAAGATTTGAAATTGATATGTAAATCAACTTTTTATAGCTGGAAAACCTTGTGATTCAAACATATTCATTTTATGTTAATTACTTTTTACCAAGGCAAATTTTAAGGTGTTTCCACTGTTTTCTTTATTATTTATATTAATTACATTCAAACATGTGTATAATATATATCCATATCATTATTTGATATGGTTTTGTTTTTAACTATTCATCATAGTTATGCTTTGTACGGGTTATTTAAAAAAATATAAAAAATATTGTGTGTGTTTAAAATAAAAAATATATAAAATAATATTATATTAATTTAAAATAAACTCAGACAATTGTAGAAAATTTTGAAATTAAATACTTAATAAAACATAGTAATAGTTAGATAATATAATTTGGAAATATTATAAAATAATATTTTAATATTTGTAAAATCACAAGAAATGTTAACTTTATAATAACTTGAATAATCCATATAATTTTTTGTCAATAAGTATAAAAAATTAAAAATAAATATTATGTTTATATTTTTATTTAAATCATTAATCATTATTTTATGTAAGCAGTACAATTTATACAGTTTTATATTTATTCACTAAAATAACAGTTATAATTAGTTTTATAATTTGTCAAGATGCTTTATTCTTTTATTTTAAATTTCTTTTACATATTCTTAAATAATTTTAAAATTATGTATGATTTATAAAATATTAAATTTCATTTTTTTATTTTCATAACAATTTAAAACAATAGAATAGATTGAAAAATAGAACATAAATGAAGACATTTTAGAAAAATCATAAACAATGACAAATAAATATTTAGACATATTAAATAATAGTAAATATTGCAATGTAAGAGAAATTTAAAATGATTTTTTAATACTATAAAACTAATAAGAATATAATAATAAAAATTTAATATTTTCATCGTTACTATTAAAAATTTGATAATGGTATATTTATATTAACAATAATAACCGTATATAGCTGTTACACTGTATAAACAAAAGACTGATTTTTTTTTCATTGTATTATTTGTAAAATATTTCTTGATTTTAGTAATAATTAAAAACTTCTCTTTTTAATTTTTACAATGAAAATATTATTTTTACTAATTCATTCAAGCGTTTGAAACTAGAAAAAAAAAACATTATTTCATTTGAATCAATTGTTTTAAATTTAGGTTCCTCCAAAAAAAAAAAAAAACAAGTAATCATTTTGTTGCATTGCCAAATTAGGTGATTCGTGGTGGAATCCTACGCGATGGTAAAACATTTTGCATGGATCTAATAGATGTTTAGGTGGAGATTAGCAAACTAAACATTAGAAAAGGAAGTACAATGAGTACTTCTTCCAACGTTTAAGATACAAGCAGACCCTCACAAATTCAGTAAATAACACTATGTAAAGTAAACTACACACATATTGAAGCATAAACCTGCAATTTAGATATCACATAACATTCAGCCTACAAAATATAGCAAAGGTTTTGCTGTCTATTCATAAAATATGAAAATAAAGCCTCTCATTTTCGTCTTGAGCCAATGTCCATGCCCCAATTTGTATCATTTCGAAAATAACAAAACAATTGAGATCATCGTTTACGAAAATAAATAATATTTTTTATATCAATGTAAGTCTTAAAATTTTTATAATTAATTTGTTTATTTTATTTAATTTATATTTAATAGTCAGTCAAATAATAAATTATAATCTATAAGATATAAATTAAATAAAAAAATTTAATTAAATATAAAAGTTTTTAAACTTATACTTGTGCAAAAATATCTTACTCTTTTTAAAAAATTCGTTCTCTCTAGCCAAATTCACTAAATAAATGCAAAGCATTATGAAAACCAAGCCTTAGCTGCAGCATGTTATGCTGTTTCGCATGGTCACCCATTAGTAATTCATGTTAAAACTTATTTATTATCAATATTATGTTGAAAATATTAAAAAAGGAAAGAAACACAATAAATTTTTTTATAATATGATTTTTAAAATGTTAAAATAAATATGATTTATATAATATAATTTATAATTAATGATAATCAATGTATTAACAGAATAATTTTTAAAACAATAAGTATCAATCAATTAAAATTAATATTACAATAAAATAAAATAAATTAATTAATAACTTGTTAAATATAATAATTTTGAATTTTAAAAATGATAAATTTTAAATATTTTGAAATATTATACAATTTTACAAGAATCTCTCACATATTTTAAAAGGATTAAAAGATGATATTTAATTAAACTTTAAAACTATTTTTTGAGTTAATGTTATTAGTGTAAATGCTTCAAATCTAATATTTTTTACACTATAAATTAGACTTGGACTGATAAAACATAATATACAAGTGAGCTAGTGAAACAAAACTTATATAAATTAAAGTGTTTTGGTGTATATTAGCAACCTACAAATATAACAGCATATTTCTTTCACGGTGTTAACATTATTTTGTGCTAAAATAGGTCATAATTAAAGAACGTCTAGTAATTATTAGCAAAAAAGAATGTCTAGTAATTTATATGTGTTTTAAATATTTATGTCACAATTTCATTCAAAGCAGTGACCCTCCTAGAAATAATTTTAATCAAGTGTATGCAACATGGATTTGAAATTCATTAAAGCTTTAACTTTAATTTCTCAATAATGTCGTTTAACACTTTTCACACTATAAAAAAGACAAAATTATAATGCTAGCAGAATTAACAATGACTTATTTTTTCTATATGAACATTCTTCGTGAGATATCTAATTATAAAGGTTGAGTTATTGTACTCGTTAATTTCAATGGCTTAAGTCTCATTGTGTGGATGAAATATTTCAAGCGTATAATTCTATAAATTAAATTAATTCTTTGTTTGAATATATATTTTTTTTAAGAAATTTAAAATTTTAAGAATTATAGTTAGGATTTTTAATAAACGAAAATTTATAGAATTTTAAATTTACTAAAATAGTGAGAATTTGAAAATTTCTCAACATCAATTTCACTCACAGCTTTCCTCAACATTGCGAATAAGGTTGGGCAATTGACTTGGATAAAACCCATCTAAGTTTTAAATTTATTTATTTTTATTAAAAATCTATTATAATTTTTTTTTTTTTTATCAAAACTAGCTTTCGATTTAAATTTCTTTTATCCAAAATCAATTTTTAATGTTTTGTGAGGGTCATGTGCAGTTGTCAATCTCATTATGTTTTTCATAGTTACTTATAAAAATTAGTCACCCTCAGATGATAAATGCACATCATGCAGTTTAATTTTTTTTAACATTAAATATTTATATTTAGTTTTTAATTTTTTAAATGTATGATTTTATTTTTTTTTCTAATTTTAATTGCTTACATGTAGTCCTTTTAATTTTTAAAATGTATAATTTTTGGTTCTTCTAGTTTTTTCAATGTGCCAATTTTAGTTCCTTTAATTTTAATTGTCAATATTTAATCTTTCTAAATTTTTAAATATTCAAATTAAATCTTCTATCTTAAAATTTTTATAATTATTAATAATTTTATTTTATTTTTATTTTAATATTTTAAAAGAATTCAACATAGGTATAAATTATTTAGGAGTTTATAATTATTATTATTTTTTAAAAAAGTTAGTAAAACTATTAGTAACTCGGAGTAGAAGGAACTTATGTTTTTTTTAGACTTTGTTGAGTTAACATTTAGTTTATACTTTATAATTATTAATTATTTTATTTTATTTTTATCTTAATATTTTAAAAGAATTATACATAGGTATAAATCTTTTTTTCTTATTTAGTTCTAATATTATATATATATATATATATATATATAAATATTTTTTATATCAGTGTAAGTCTAAAAACTTTTACACTCAAATATCTGAACCTTTCATTTAACTTAAATCTAATGGTCAGTGAAACAATAAATTATAACTCATTAGATTGAAGTTAAATAAAAAGTTCAAATTGAGTATAAGATTTTTTAGACTTTTATATATATATATATATATATATATATATATATTATATTTAATACATTTCAATTAGTTTTACCGAATAACTCTAATTAAATAAGTTCACTGTAAATTATAAACTATAAGCTTTAACGGACTTATCAACTACAAAATATAAATTTTGCTAATTTTACTAATAAGAACATTTATTATGTCATACAACTGCTTCTACGTTAAGAATGTATTTGCTAATACTAGCTTATAAAAGTTACATTTGACTGTTCAGTGAATTAAAATAAAGAGAATTTATAGCTTTTAAATAATACTTAAAGCTTTTGAAAACTATATGAAAAATTATTTCAAGTATTCAACTTATTAAATGTAAACTTCTAATATTTTTGTATTTTTACCTTAACATTGTAAGTAATTTGTGGTCACACATATTAATTTTTTTATTTTTGCTATCCACACATAATATCTTTAATATTTACTTTTAATTATTTAAACTAATTATATAACTAATTTTATCAAACAACCAACCAATTAATTATAGGTTACTCCCTTTTGATAAAATTAACTTTGAATTAAATTATGCAAACCAATAAGAGTAGTTAAACTTAGTTGATTTTTTTAAAATTATTATGACATGATAATTTTACTTTTATGTAATACCATGGCACATAATTCTACTATCATTATTTATCCTCATTAATTTTAATTTCTATCAATTCTATTAAAAAATGAAAAAAATCATAATAAATACTACACAAACATTATAAAAACTTTATAAGATGGACTGCTAAAACCTTTTAGAAATGTGTTTATATAAAAGTCTAAGTTTTAGTTATAAGTAACAAGCTTTTATACCTATATATATATATATATATATATATATATATATATATATTATAATAACATATTTCTTTTAATAAATAACATATTTATTATAATAACATATTTATTATAATAAATAAAATATTTATTCTTTTCAAATTATAAAAATAGATAAATTTAATAATTATATAATATAATTTTTATTTTAAAAATATTTTAATTTAGTAACATTCGTGCAATTGATGAGAAATTCACTAGTTAATTATTAAATAAATAGCATGTGATAGGAAGAGTGTCTATAACCAAAATTTAAATAATGTGTCTTAATTTTAATACTTTATTTTTATAATATTTTCTTTGATTGTAATAGTCTTGTTTATTTAATATTTTTTTTTTAATTTAATTAAATATATTATTTATATTTAATCATTAAATTATACATGTACTTATTTTAAACATGCACCAAATAATTTTAAATTGAATTAAATAAAATGAAAAGAAAGAAAAAACGGGGAGGCAAAATGGTAGTAATAGGGATCAAATGCTTTATTCACGGAAAACTTGGTCGAGTTACATGTAACTATATATTATAAATAGATCCACGTGCTGCTTCATGATCTATTCATCTTTCCTTACTCTCCAAAAACAGAAACAATAGGCTCTATTCTTCTTCACCATCGCCACTGTCTTCTTCCTTTCATCTGTTAAACAAGGTAATTAATTTGATCTCTGTGTGTCATTTGCGTGGCAGCTTTTTGCTTTTGAAGAGATCCATAGATTGTTTTTGGTTTAAATTATCTTAGATCTGTTACTGTTACCTTTTTTATTACATGGGCTGTTCCGATTCCTCAATTTGCCTCGTGTCATGTGTCCGCATGCGTGTATTAATAGGAACACAAGATGGCCCAGCAAAACAATTTATTAGTTTAAGTTCAATTGATTCTACCTATTGCATTTTCTTTGAGAATGTCCTCTAGATCTAAAATTCTCGACTCTCTTTCTCTTATCAATGCACACATAATTCATAATTCTAAAAATCAATCTATTTTGCGTCGCTATTGTTACCTAACACCCCCCCCCCCCTCTCATGGAGCTTATTATATGAATTATTTTGTATCTCTCCATTTTCTCCTGTGAGAATGAAGACTTATCTCTATTCCATGTCTTTAAATTAATCATTGATATACATCTAAAATTTGTTAGATTCAATTTATTAAGATGAATACTTGCTTATTTTTACCAGCTTTCTAAGATAAATTTTGAAAATTAAATTATTGATTTTATGATAATTATTTTCAAACATTCACTTATTTTCATTGCTAATGTTACATTTGATTTGGATCCACCTGCTAGGTGCTGAGAACAAACGAAAAATGGTGAAGATTTGTTGCATTGGAGCTGGGTATGTTGGTGGACCCACCATGGCTGTGATTGCATTGAAATGTCCCAAGGTTACAGTAACGGTAGTGGACATATCTTCTCAGCGAATCAATGCATGGAACAGCGATCACCTTCCCATATATGAGCCTGGCCTTGATGAGGTGGTGAAGGAGTGCAGAGGGAAGAACCTTTTCTTCAGCACTGATGTGGAGAAACACGTTTCAGAGGCTGATATAGTCTTTGTTTCTGTAAACACCCCAACAAAAACTCATGGCCTTGGAGCTGGCAAAGCAGCTGATTTGACATACTGGGAGAGTGCTGCTAGAATGATTGCTGATGTTTCAAAATCAGACAAAATTGTGGTGGAAAAATCAACTGTTCCTGTGAAAACAGCAGAAGCAATTGAGAGGATTCTGACTCATAATAACAAAGGCATCAATTTCACTATTCTTTCAAACCCAGAATTTCTTGCTGAAGGCACAGCAATTCAAGACCTTTTCAATCCAGATAGAGTCCTTATTGGAGGGAGGGAGACCCCAGATGGGCAAAAAGCCATAGAAGCTCTGAAAAATGTGTATGCTAATTGGGTACCTGTGGAGAGAATCCTTTGCACCAATTTGTGGTCTGCTGAACTCTCAAAGCTTGCTGCCAATGCTTTTCTGGCACAGAGAATCTCTTCTGTGAATGCCATGTCAGCATTATGTGAGGCAACTGGTGCTGATGTATCCCAGGTGTCACACTCTGTTGGGACAGACTCAAGGATTGGACCAAAGTTCTTGAATGCTAGTGTTGGTTTTGGTGGCTCTTGCTTTCAGAAGGACATATTGAACTTGGTGTATATCTGTGAGTGTAATGGCCTTCCTGAGGTGGCAAATTACTGGAAGCAAGTCATTAAGGTGAATGATTACCAGAAAACAAGGTTTGTGAACAGGGTTGTTTCCTCTATGTTCAACACAGTTTCAGCTAAAAAGATTGCTATTCTGGGTTTTGCTTTCAAGAAGGACACCGGTGACACTAGGGAAACCCCAGCAATTGATGTGTGTAAAGGACTTTTGGGAGACAAAGCTAGGTTGAGCATATATGATCCTCAGGTTACTGAAGACCAAATCACAAAGGATCTCTCAATGAGGAAGTTTGATAAGGACCACCCTGCTCATCTTCAACCACCTAGCCCCACATCTATAAAGCAAGTATCTGTGGTTTGGGATGCTTATGAGGCAGTGAAAGATGCACATGGAATTTGCATTATGACCGAGTGGGATGAGTTCAAGAAGCTTGATTACCAAAAGGTTTTTGACAGCATGCAGAAGCCAGCATTTGTTTTTGATGGCCGGAATATTGTGGATGTTAAGAAGCTCAGGGAAATTGGATTTATAGTTTATTCCATCGGCAAGCCACTTGATCCATGGCTCAAGGACATGCCTGCAGTGGCTTAAAGGGAAAAGCAAATTTTGGAGACAATACCTCCTTATTCTAGTTCTCATTATTGCATTCTTTATGCTTTTGTCTTTTCATATACTAGTTTTAATTTACGGGATTCTGTGGCATATTGGCACAGTTGAATCCATTATTGTGTTTTTAGCTTGTTGACATACCTTCATGTAATAAATAAATGATTGCTTAAGGAATTTTATTCAACGGATAAATTCTCTTATATTTTATATTGAATGTTGATAAGTCTTGTTTTAATGATATTATAAAATATTTTTCTACGTTATAAATAATAGTTTAGTGATAAATGATAAACCTTTTTATAGGGATGTCAAATTGAATTTGCTAGCTTCGTTCCTCCAAAAGCTTGTTATAAAATGGAAGAATCAGTTTCACGTTAATTTTTAAAGTGAGCTAAATTTTTTAATTTGATTTGTTTAAGGTTGGATTGGTGAGCTAATAAGCTAATCTATGAAAGACAATAAAATAAAATAAAATTATATGCCATCAAATTCATGGGTTAATTCACCTAAAATTAATATAAAAATAGAAAAAATATAAAATAATAAATTTTTAAAAAATATTCAATAATTTTTGTATCAATAAATATTAATATTTAATTAATAAATAATTATATTTTATTTTTAAAAATTTCTAAAATAGACTTAATGGGTTAACCTGTCATTGAACTGACATATTAAACAGATAAACATGGTTCAAAACTTCTAGTCCAAACCTTCCATTTTCAACAAGACATGCCCATTTTAACACCCTTATGAGTGGAGTAGGGTGTTGTCCTTTGTGATATGCTTCTTAATATCTCTATTAAAAAAAATTGTAATTTATAGCTACGAAGCGTTGATATGAAACGAGTACCGTATTAAAACACATTTAATATATGATGATATACTTGTTCTTGAAATATAGGATATGTATGTCTACGTAGATTTGAATGGTAAAAAAATCATAAAACATAATAAATATATAATTGTAATTCTAAATATTTAAACGAATTAATAACATTATTAAATATAAAATTAAAATTATGGACCATTGTGTTTAGAAATCATTGCTAAATCCCTTTAAATAGGGATTATATCAATCTTATTCCCTCCTTGAGCATCATTCGGAAAGAAAGCAACTTTTCTGGCTTCTAGATTACTGTCACTCCAAGAACTTTAACGTCATTAAAGTTATATACCTTCCTTTAATGTTTCACATTTTAGTACCCACTCTTATATCATTTAGTTTTGGGTTTTTTGCCTGCACGGGGTTAAAGGAGAAACAATTTCTCGGTATGGGATTGTTTCATAACAAATGTCGTATATGGAGTGATATGAAAATGTCGTAAAATGTACTAGCAACACAGTATAAAGTGTCAGTCACAAAACTACCGACACTAAGTGTAAATATTGTCACGTGACATATGTGTTGGCTCGTTGTGCTCTAACACATGTGTGTCGGCTATATTTTTTGCGACACTTGTGTATCAGCTGGAAGAATGTCGACACTTGCTCTGTGTCAGTTGCTTTGATGCTGACACTTTTCTTGTTCACCCCACAGCCCACTGGACTAGAAAGAAGACAATCTTTTATCTAGAAATTTTTATCTAATTAAAATACATATATATAGGCGAACGAGTGTGTATCAGTTGCGAAAAATTTTGAAGAAGCTCTGCTAGAAGAAACTTCAGGTTAGAATATTATTAATTTATTGTTTTAAATTTTTTAATTATTGCAATTAAGTTTTAATTAATAATTTTAATATTATTTTGAATTAATGAAATTAAAAATATTTGTAGTAATTAATTAAATTATTTAATGTTAATATAATATTATTAAAAATATAAATGTAAATCTTTTTTATTTTAATATTTTTGTAATATTTTTTGTTACTATTTGTTTAGGTATACTTTTGTAATAATTTTGGCTGTATTTTTAAATTTGATATACAGGATGACTGAAATTGTGATTATTTTATACTAGAATAGAAGAGTATACAAAGGAAATGAGGGTATTATATTTGAAAGGAATACGAAAATGATTAAAATAGAACGTGGAATTACTTTTGAGAGGTTGAAAAAAAAATACATACAAAATTAATATTGTGCAATAATAATGTAATTTTTAGACTGATTTCACGAATTTTAGTTAATGCAAGGAGTGAAAACTACACAATTTTAGATGTATGTGATGATGAAGACATTGACTGTATGATAAGTGCTTGTCAAGAACGACATCAAAGAAATGTAGTTGAGTTATACGTGGATGTTGAGGTTGGTAAAACTTCTCATATAGGTGAAACTTTGTTATGCTCAAATTTATCACTCCCAATTGTTAATGTTAGTGACAATGAAGAAGAGTATACAATTGGAGGAGGTAATGTATAGTATTTATTTAAATTATATAATGTTTAAAATTTTATAATTTATTGATAAATATTTGTTGTTGCATCTACAAATGAAGAAGATGAGTACGATGATGATTATAAAGATGAAGGAGAAATTTCTTTAGACAGTTCTTCTGATACTAATTTGGAAGATGGTTTCGATTCAATGATGAATATTCCAAACATTGAAAGAAATAACGATATGCAAGGACAATCTATAGGTATAATTTTATATAATACAATAATTGTAAAATATTTTTAACTAACATTAGTTGAGTTTAATACAGATTCTATAACACCTTTTTAGAACATAAGTTCACACTACATTACTATTAATTGGGAACATCTTGATCAAGAATTGGGTTTTTCTGAGTTGCATTCGTCACAATCATGGGTACAAGGAGATGCATTATATGTTGGATAACTCTTTGACTCTAAAGAGGAGGTAAAAATGGTGATAAAATATTATGCAATGAGAAACATCAAACAATTTTTATAGTTGAGTCAAAAGCATCAACTCATTTTGTCAAATGTGTGAATCATAATTCCGGATATCCTTGGAAAGTAAGAGCATTGCTACCCAAAAATTCAAATAAGTGGAAAATTACGAGATTGGGTGGTATGCATACCTGCGTAAATACTATGATTTCTCAAGACCACAAAAAGTTAGATTCAAATTTTATTTGTTCATACATTATTGGTACGTGAAACTCAATTGAGATTATTTTTATTTGTCTATTTAAAATAATTTTGAAATGATCATTAGTTGAGACGTATTGTTTAATTTTATTAATAGGTATGGTAAAAAAAGAACCTTCTGTTCCCGTTTCATTAATCCAAGAGAGAATAAGTGGCCAATTTAGATATTCAGTTTCATACAAAAAAAAGCATGGAAAACAAAGCAAAAAGCAATTGTGACAATATTTGGTGATTGAGATAAATCGTATATAACATTGACAAGATAGTTAGAACACATGCAATTACATGCTCCAAAGTAAGTTTACAAAATTGAGACCAATGATTATGTGAGAGGTAATGTAATGGATAATAAATTCAGAGTTTTTCATTCTTATTATTTCAATTTTATTTTGTTATAATTATTTTTATATTTTATTAACCTTATAATAATCACATATAATTCTTCTTCATATATTTATCTAATTTAATTCTTTTATATTTCTCAATTAATTTATATTTATATATTTTTCTAATTTAATTATTTTGTTATTTAACATAATAATATTTGTATAGCAATAATAATATCATCATTATTTTTACTTTTAAATACAGTTTTCTATATAAATAACAAGAAAATTATAAATTGTAATTTAAATATTTTTCTATTTTTCTATTTTCGTATTTTTCTATTTTTTACATGCATAAAATTACAACAACAAAAAATTATAATCTAAATGTTGACTAACCTCTGAGTTGAGAATCCTGGATCACCGAAAGCCCCTTTTTGCAAGATTGCAATCTTCTTGAAATGGAAACAAAAACGAATAAAGGAAATTATATTTTTTGAAAAAATATTCATATTTATATTAATATACAAAAAAATCATTTATTCTTACCTTATAAATTTTTAAAAATGGCAAATCCGCTTGCCCCTTCTTCCTCTACGTTTTCGTTTTGCCAAAATTTTTTGCCTTTTTCACTTACAGAACGAAGAAGATGAACAGCAGAAGCACCAAGGGAGGGAGGGAGGGGCGAGCAGCGTGGCTCCTACAACATTGCCACGTGGACCAATCGACGTGTGTCGGTCCTAAACATGCCGACATTGGTGTTGTCCAACGCAATACCGACATTAAAGTCGGATCTAAACCGTTCGACACATTGGATAACCTCCACGTGTTTAGTTTGCAGCCGTAGATCAGTACTATAAAAATCAGTCCGTTAATATTTCTAAAAGTGTTGGTTACAAGTTTGACGACACTATTAATTTTTTTAAAAAAAATTCTTGTGTCGGCCATGTATCTTCCAATACTGCTTTCACCTGTCATTCTCCACCCTAAACACGGTATTTGTTATGAAACAGCCCCATCTGGAGAATTTGTTTCTCCTTTAACCTTATACGGGCAAAAAACCCTCTAATTTTCATAGCTAAAGTTACAAATTTAGTATGTATGTAAGTAAACTACTTATTTTGTACTTACTCGAATTCAACTTATTTCTTTTTAATGAATGTATAAGTGTTCTAATTTGATTGGCAACTCAAATGAAGCGAAAGGCTGTCAATATATAAGCCTAATAGTAAGCTTTTGAAAGAAAGTTAGAAGCACATTTTACCCATCAGTATATATAAGACCAAATGTTCACTATATTTAATTTAGTCAAAAGAAGTAAAATTACCTGTTCTTATTAAAAAAAAATCAATATTTAAGTAAAACCTTTTTTCTATCCTCAACAATTGTAAGTTAAAAAGAAGAAGAAATACTTCTCCATAAAAATCTCTTCATCCCATGAGAGAAAATTTTGTTTGGATCGTCCTATAAACCCATTCATCACTATAATGCCTATGAATCTTGCAAAATTTAATATATAGTTTATATTAGCTAATATCTAACCATGAATATTAATATTTAAAAATTTGAAAGCCTAATTGTATACACCATATTTTGTCCTACTTTGTAAAAGATTTTATTTTCTTTCACTATTTCTTATCTCTATTTTTTTTTTTCGTTTTTATTTCACCTTTTGATCATTCAATTTAGAAATAAGACTATTGCGTAGAAGGGTGAGCACTGCCTAGTTTCGTGCCTCAAGATCCATAACCGATGCAAACCGACCATGTGAAAGAAGAAAACATGAACATGACCAAACCACAGCAAACAGCTTTTGCCACCATTGACATCGTTATGGCTTCAAAAATTCAAAACCCGCTAAATCTACATCACCACCGTCACCTCCCTGATGGCCACCATCAAAGCCTCCACGTAAAGCTGTGAGCAAACACACAAAAATGGAGAGAAAATGACTACAATTTCTCAATGGGAAAGGAAAGCTAAAGAGGGAAAGAACAAGGAATAGAGACAGAGAAGAGAAGATGTTGTTCGGAAGGAGAAGAAAAAGATGCGATTTGAGAGAGAAAACTTGACGGCTATTTTGGGAAAGGTAAGGTAAGTTCGCATCTTATGATTAATTGGTGGTCAAGAATAAGTCCAACCCGCACTTACCCATATCCAAATGCCTAATTTCATAATAATAATAGTAATAATAATAATTGAATAATGTTAGCAAAGTAATTTTTTATAACACACTTATTATTAACAATTTTATTAAAAATTATGTAAATCTTACTATTTTCACTCATAAATTAAAATTAAAATTAATTTTTTTTGTATTTTTTTAGTTTTTAATAAATTTTATTCAATAATAAAGTGTGTGTTGCTGGTGTTCTTCAAAATTTATTTTAATTTTATTTTTTTAAGCCAAATTTCGATTATTTGTTCACTCCTAATTGCCTAGTTGTGAATAATGAAACATCCAATTTCTATTCTATTCCTTTTATTTTTTTCTACTTTTCATTTTATATTTACCCTTTTGTTTTCCTTAAACATTTTTTTATTTTAAATTTTTCATAATAAAAATTAAAAAATAATTAAAATTATAAAGTTAAAAAAAATGTAATAAAATGTAAATGGAGACACAATTGCACCTGCTGCACCTAATTTAGAGTAAGGATATTAAGCACCCACCTTGCTAAGTATACAATTTTAACAATTAAATCATATCTTAACCACGCTCATGGACTTGGAAGAATGAGACCTTTATTGGTTGTTGCCCTCCCCTTTTCATAGATTCAAGCTCAATGTAAATGGATCCATTCATGGAATTCAAGGTCTAACAACTTGTGGTAGTTAGGAATAATCAAGAAAATTTATTGCTATCTTCATAAAAAAATGGGAAATTGTTCAATGATCAATTTTGAATTGTGGAGTGTGGACCCTGTTAATGGGTCTTAAACTTGTTAAAAATCTTCAAATTGAGAGTGTGCCGGTAGAATTTGATTCTAAAATAGTAATTCATTTGTGAATTTCAATATTTATATGAGGTATAAATTGTTTCCATTTATTAGGGAGATTACAATTCTAATCCAATATATTAAAATTTTTAGTCTCTATTACATTTTCAGAAAAGTTAATCACTATATAAGTTTTTTAGTCAATTGGGCTTTCAAGACCGAAATTAATTTTAGATTTCTTAGAGAAGATAATAAGAGAATATGTTTTCTCAAAATGATTAATTAGTTATTTTTTTATTTTATTTTCTTAACTTTTTGCTCAGTTGAATATAAAAATAATTAATAAATGATTTTAAGATTAATACATTGTTAAACACATTTTAAAAATTATTATAAGATAAATTTAAGATTAATACCAGTGAAATGATGGTTAACTATTTGTTTAGAGTAAGAAAAAAATATTAAGTTATTTTCCCTACCAAACTTTCATGGTAAGAAACAAACTATGCCCTTTTCGAGGAGTTTCTAGTCTTTGGACTGAAAATAACTAAAATTGATTAAAAAATAGGACTGACAAGGAAAATATTCTAAGTCCACAAGACTGAAAATTTTTTTAAGGAGTTTTTGAGGATTTTCAAGTTCCTAACACTTAAAAATGTTCGAAAAACAGGACAAATAAAGAAAATATTCTAAGTCTACAAGACTGAGTGAGACTCTAAACTTTCCTCAGAATTACTTGAAAATAAAAAATTGACAAAAAAATTATTCTAAGTCCACAAAACTAAAAGAACTCTTATATTTCTTCCAAAAATAGTCAAAAAAAAGAAATTAAGGAAAAAATTATTTTAAGTCCATAAAACTAATGAAGCTCACAGATTTTCCTCAGAAATTGTTCGAAAAATAGGAATTTAAGGAAAAATATTCTAAGATCACAAGAGACATGATACAGTTCAAAAAGTGATATCAAAAGAGTAACAAGACTCAAAGTAGTTATCAATAGTTGCCATCAGTGGAAGGTTCAAGACACGAAGAAAGATTGTGGGCGATAACAGTTATGGAAGAAACTCCAACCGGACAGCACGATCATAAGCAATCATGGATAATGGATAGCAGCGGTTAAAGGCAAGCACGTATGGAAAACAGTTGCTCAGAAGTGCCTGCGAACAGAGAAGATCAAGGATAGTTCATTTGTCTATAAATATTACAAAGTTTTACATCACTGAGAACGACTTTTTGTACCTAGACATTGCACTTAAACTCTCTACACGCTGAAATTTTGCACTTAGCCAAACATTAGCTATCAGGAGACACAATTGTTGATTGTTCATTGTTGCTAAGAGTCATACATTATTTTCTTGCACATTCACTTTTCTGTTCTTTATTTTTGGTTCATTCTACATTAATTTCTTACAATTTTAGCCTTATTTAGTACGTTGGTATAAATTTTTACGTTTTAATTTAACTCTTACATTGTTATTATTCACTATTCCTTTTTAATATCTTTTTACAACGTTAATTTGAACATTACATTTAAACAACTCACTTAAAAGAATCTAAGAAGACCTAGTACCTTGCTGTTAAATTTATTTATTTATAATTGATATTTTTCACCGTAAACACCATCCTTGTGTCTACTCGAAGTCTCAAAGTGGTGGGGGTCAAGTGATGAGTAACTAGTAGAGGCTGAGTGGTGAGAGACTTGGAGTCAGCAAAGCATATGCATTATGACTAGGATTTAAATTCTGTAGTCTAGAAAAAAAAATAAATTTGGGCCGTTGGATTTGCAAGCCCAGATCGGGTTTGCATTTCGGTATTTTGAGGCCCAATCCAAAAGCACTACAACCCGACTTATATGCTGAACCATGTCGAATTGAGAACCACGAACCGTACCTCGCTTTTCATCGCTTTCTTCGTTCGATCTTCTCCCTTTAGATCCTCAATTTCTTCTTAATTATTGATCGTAATTCATCAATCGAGTCCCTGTTTCGTTCAATTCCGGTTTTCTTCTTTCGTTTGACCCCAAAATCATTCCCTTTTCTTTATCGTTATCGTGGTCTAGGGTTAGGGTTTCAATTCGCCCCTTTCAAGCCCATACAATCGTCGTATTTCCTTGTGTATTCCCCAAAACTCTTGGTTTTGGTTCTTATTCACTTGATATTTCGTTCCAATTTGACATAATACTTGGACTCGTTTACGAGTCTAGGGTTTCGGAGCGGTCGACATTTTAGGGCTTTTCGATCTTTAAATTTCCGAAGGTTTTTTCTGTTAATTACTTTAGGGGTTTGGTTCCCTCCTTGACTTAGTATCGTTTTCAATTTCGTAATTTCTGGGTTGACTTAAGAATCTAGGGTTAGGGTTTGAAATACACTCTATTATTATTCTAATTCGTGAAATTCAATTGGGGATACGCTCTTTGGCGTCGACGAACTACCTTTGTTGTGTAATTCTGTGTCCATTTCTCTCTTATTCGACTTTGATTATCGTTTGACCTTAATTTGTTCTGCCAAGCGCTGTGTTGCGGGCTATCTGAAGTTTGAATTTGAAAAATTTTACAAAGGTGAGAATGATTTTTGTCATCTCTGCTTTATTATCGTTTGTGTTTAAATAATATTCGAGAGTTGTCATTATGTTTGTGGTCATGGGTCTAATTTTATATCTATGCACAAGATACTTTGCCCTGCTGCTAATTTGATATGATATCAAAGCTAGCCCTTCTTCAGGCTAATCGTAATATTGTATAGGAGGAATTTCTTCACATTTGAGATAGAATCAGTAGTTTTTAAAGAAGCATAACACTGATGTTAAATACCATGAATGTGATGGGTGGGTGGTTTTGATCAACATAGAATTAGAGTATAGTACTTCAACATTTATTGTGGTTATCCACTGTAAACTAAAGGAAGAGGTACATGTTATCAAGCTTGGTACATGTTGCTAGAGGTTCCGAAGCAACTGTGCTTTCTCTAGCAGCTGGTTACAACAATGAAAATCCTAACTCTTTTTATATTGATATACTAGAGAGTCACTGTTCCTTTCAAAATTTAAACATTGCTTTTTTCTTTTATGTTTAAAATATCTGTGGAATGTTAATGTTTTATTTTTCACAAAATTTACCCCAGGAGCTCACAGTTATCTTCATCAAATGCCTTTATTTATGTGGTCATATGTTCTGTTTCATTATTAACTCTTATTTATTGTATTACAGAATCAGAATGGGATATAAGAGATGTCTTGAGGCCAATGAATTTGATGATCTTTCTTTGAACAAGGCAAAGCGTTTTGAATGCAGCAGTGAACTGGTTTCATTTGCTGATATTGTTACACCCAACAATGCCTTTTTAAAGACTGTTATTTCAGGTAAACGTCTGTTTTTATAAAATATTTTAATTTGTTTTACTTTTTATTAGACCTAGTTAGTTTAGGTTGCCATTGGCCTTGTTGCATTTTTTGTCTGATAATTTGTGTATGATTAACAATATTCTTCATTTTGCATAGGGGATGATGAAGATGGCTTTTACAATGTTCAATGGTATGATCCACCTGAAACAGACACTGGCAAGGAATCTCCATATGCTGGTGACAAGAATGTTCAAACCAGTGGCCTCTTCAGCAGCTGTTCTAGTGAGGATGACACCAGTTCTGGTGCAACATCATTATCCTCTGCTTCCTCGGATTGTTTGGAATTTGATATTCCACAGAGAGCATTTGTTCCTTTGGATGATGACTATGTGGACTATGATTGCTCACCTAGAAAACCAGTTCCCATTGGGCCAAATCATCAAGCCACTATTCCTGTTTGGAGAGGAAAAGTGAATAAGATGTCAGGGTTAGGCATATATAATCATGATAGTCCCTCCTCTGGTTTGGTATCAGTTCAAACTGTTGATGAAGATGAAGAGAGACTCATGGGAACTTCAGTGCTCGCAATGGATGAGTCTTACTTTTATTCTTCTGCTAATAACAAGAGTTGGCAAGACAGGACAGAGTGTAAGTGCCTGGATCAGGGCTCGATCAGATGTGTTAGGCTGCATGTTAAAGAAGCACGTGGAAATTTGAGGGAGATTCTTGGGAAGGAAAATTTTGTGAACTTGGGCTTTAGGAACATGGGAGAGGATGTTGCACAGGAATGGACTGAAGAAGAAGAGGACATGTTTCATGAGGTTGTCTACAGCAATCCTGCATCATTGGGTAGAAACTTCTGGAAATACTTGTCTGTTGCATTTCCTTCTCGAAGCAACAAGGAAATTGTCAGCTACTACTTTAATGTCTTTATGCTGCGGAGAAGAGCTGCTCAGAACAGGTCTAGATTTTTGGATATTGATAGTGATGATGATGAATGTCATACAAGAAATGGGATTTTTGGTTATGAAAATTCAGAAGATGATTCTGCCATTGAATCTCTTGGTGATCAAGATGTCCATGTAGAAAATCAAGATAATTATTCTGATGAAGATGATGGTGATGATAACAGTGATGATGAAGCTGCTGGCAATGTTCTTGGTTTAACTGGAATAAATATGGGAAACACCACTGAGGTGGAGGGAGGGCTTGGTCAAAGATCATCAAAATGCAAGGTGAACTCACAGAGTGAAACTTGGAGTAATCCTGTTCAACATTTCAATGGGACTTCAGGGATTCTGAAGGATGATATTGGGGTCCAGGATGACTCCTGTATGTCCTTTGAGTGTAATACCAATATGGATGTGTCTTGCCATGGTTTAGTAGATGCTAGCTCTGCTCTGCAAGCTAGGGGATTTAAATACGATCAGAGTCCACGCGTGCATTTGTCCGGCAATGAGATGGAGCATGTTTATTTGATGGAGCCCTGTGATGCTAAAGACTGGTATCCTGGTGGGTACTCAACAAGTTCGAGCACCGATATTGACTTCTTACCTACATCCAATTTGATCGAAGAGTTTTTCGGTCATGGTACTTCAGATAAAAAGAACAGAAGTGATTGAGGTATGAACTTCTGTAATTTTTATGGTACCAGCCAGACAGTTACTTGAGGATTCCAATCCAGGTTTTAGAATATTGAAGTTACGGACGTGTTATTTCAGTACCAGGAGGAGCTGCTTAATGGTGGTGCAGGTTAGGTGTAAAACACAACCACCAAGCTTGGAACGAAAAGCCTTCTATTCTTTATTTCTTTTTGTTTTATTATTTTCTTCTATGTCAGAGAGGAGAGGGTGAGGATTGTAAGTACATTTTGTGTCAATTTGTAAATACATGTGTGGACCTCAGTCTCCCGTCACCGTTTTTCTTTTACTACCCCACAATTTGTATGATAATGTGAAAAGTGGGTTTGAATTGAATATTATCTCATATTCTCCTATATTTTTATTGTATACTGATATTTTGATGCCAATAAATGAATTATGAAATATTTTGTTAATTTGAGTTATGAGCCTAATCTTTTTTATGTATTAGTAAATTTTTATGTACCGAACTTGTATTATTAAAAGATAAATTAAATAAAAAATTAAACTTCTAGTATATGATTATTTTTAAATAAATTTACGAGAGTTTGAATTGAAAAAGATAAGACTATTTTTTTAAGCTATTGAACGTGGTTTAAAAACTAAAAAACAAACATACTTAAATCACAAATCATTCAAATACTTAAGAAATTTAGTCTTAAAAAGGATAATAATGAGGTGTTTGATTTACTTTTTTGAAGAACATGATTAAATTTAATAAATCTAATTCTTCTTAATTTTTTTTTAATTTTATTAATTATAAAGAAAAAAGGACGATTATATCTTTGGTAGTTAATATTTAAATATTCAATTTATATTAGTTAGATATTTTAGAAAAAAGAAGTTTTAACCTATAGTAAATTCTCTAAAACTCTGCAACAAGAAGGAGCATAGGTCTAAGGCTCTATGAAACCAGTAATGAATTTGCCATAACTATCTCAAATGAGTCTTTTATAGCTAGTATTTCTAACAGTTTGAGAGGCAACTCCATCAATACTTAGCTTGAGTTGCAAGTTCATGGGAGGAGGGGGGATTGCCATTTAGTTAAGCTCTTATCCCCCAACCAATCAATTCTCACCTTTTGGTTAGACTTGTTACATAAAATGAGATAATCAAAGTTATATTTTATTTTCAGAAATAGAAACTTATTATTAACAGGGGAGTTTGAACAATCTCCTTATTCCTGTTATTTAATAAATTTCAAACAATAAATTCCAATGAAGATACAAAGGAAAGTTAGATTTGGACAAATTAAATTCTAGTCAGCTAGTCAATCTTTTACTAAAAAAATAATGACCAGCTTTCAAGGAGTATCGGTTGGTTCTAAATCTTCCTGAAAAACTAGCAGTTCTTGAAGATATGAATTATAGTTTCAACAACTTCTTTTACATCTAGAACAAATAGAAGAATTAATTATTCCACAATTACACCTTTCATCATTTGTAATGAGTCTTCCATAGGCTAATTTTCATAAGAAAACATTGATTTTAGGGAGACTTGCTCAGCTCTAAACAAAGTTAAAGAGATTGTGATGCAGAAACTCATGCTAGTTAAGGAGGGATATGAATTTGTATAGAACGACTAACTTAATTCTAGCAAAATAGGTCTTGCTCCACTTGGTGGAATAAGGGATCAATTTGAGCAATTGAGACACATAGATTTAGGAAACAGGGTCTTAATTCTAGCCTAGTTCTATCATCTATTGTGAGAGAACATAGCCACTGGCTCATTTAATTCAATCTCAAGAATAGGTTGTAGGGCAGAGTAAGGCTTTGTTGGGTATGAACTTAATTGTCCTCCCAAAATCTAATGGTCAACCTATCACTTAGGATCCAACCAAGCCCATTAGAGAAAAACTGCTAAATAGATAACATGCTTCTCCACAGATGAGAATAGTTCTGAAAACTACTAGAATTAGGGTTCTTTTCAAGGGAGAATTTGTATTTACTATAAATGACCTATGCCTACAAGTCATTGGGAGAGGTGATAAACCTCCAACATAATTTTATAATATAGGCTTGATTTACTAGGTGGATTTCCCTATAGCACAGACTCTTTCCTCATCCTTAGAGTTACAAATTTTTTCCTAATGAATTAAATGACACTGCCTATCACCCAGAGACCCATAAATAAACTTTTTGCATATATTATCAATTTTATTACATATAAATTTAGAGATAAGTATAGATTGCATAAAATAGAAAGGAATATTCAAAATACAAGATTGAACAAAAGTGATCCTTCCAGCCATAGTTAAAAGAGTTCATTTTTTAGGAAGAAAGCTTTTTCCTAATTTTGTCAACTAAAAAGGTATAATCTTGCTTAATGGAATTGAGGTAGCTAATAGGTATACCCAAATTTACTAAATTAGGATAAATGTCTAATTCCTAATATAAGGCTAATGTCTTGGGATAACACAAAATCACAATTTTTAGAAAACAAAACTAAAGATTTATCTTTATTTGTAGACAAACTAGAGACAAAACAAAACTCATTAAGGATAGAACTAATCACCTCAGCGTTATGCCTATTCACTTTAGCAATTAAGATTATATCATCAACAAAAAATAGGTAGAAAATTTTAGGCTCCTCATTATTAAAAGAGAAGAGGATTTGATCCCTATTGGTAATTTTATCATGGATTTAATAAGTTAGTCGTTCTATACAAAGAACAAAAATATAAGGGGAGATGAGATCACCTTGCCAAATAACCTTATTACGACTAGAATTTTCAATTTTGCTACTATTCCAAATAAGGGACATGGAAGGAGATGAAACACATTGATAAATGAGCTCAGTTAATTCAGGTTTAAGACTAATTTTTTGGATGGTATCCTTAATGATGACAATCATAATCTATGTTGTCGAATTAAACGATCTTAAATTGGATTTTATATAATAAAAGCAAAGTTTTTAGGGCACAAATAAAAATTGAAACAAGAAGAAAATTAACAAATGTGAAAATAAAATAGAGATAGAAAATGGCATCACAGTCACAAGATTGATAAGTCAAGGAATAATCGTCACAAGAGTCTTGACCTCCTGATAAGATCAAAGAAAATTGATTCACTCAAGAACCTAGAGTTACACGCTCTCACAAGAGTGTTCAATCTCAAATTGTATTCAAAACTAATTAAGAGTGTTTATACAAGAGCATATATATGTCTAACACTCATAAACTAACACAAACGCAACTCTAATGGGCTTCTTGTGGCAACAAGCCCAAATCTTAAATAAACTAAATAAAGTAACAAGAGTTTTATCCTAAATAAAAACTTAAAATAAGTAATGACTAATATTAAAATAAATAAACTAAACATAGTAACTAAATCTTAATAGAACACATTAAAGTATAAGTTCTTTAAGCATATGTAATTAACTATTTTGGTCTCTTCTAATTCCAAATTGACCTCTCTTTCAAATAGGACAACATTTATTTTCTCTAAGTCTCCCTATATCCTCTTTGTCGTTGCCCTTGTCACTGATTCTTGAAACTCTTCCAATGTCTTTAAGTCTTTGTCTTCAATGAGTCTTCTTTGATTCTCATTACTTAATAAAGCTCCATTTGAACTTATCACAGGTCTCTTCTAAGTTTAGCTTAATCATCAAATATCCATTTTTCTTTTTAGTTTATTGAAAGAATGAACAAATTCTTAGAGGATTAAAGTGTTATTTATACCATATCTACCTAGGATGAAGTTAGTTTGATCAGTAGAAATTAACCAGGATAAGAATCCTCTAATTTTGTTAGCTAAAATCTTTGTAATAATTTTATAGTTGACATTACATAAGGAGATAGACCTAAAGTTTTTAAGATGACTAGGGTTTTCAGTTTTAGGGATAAGGGCAGCAAAAGTAGAATTAACCTTAGCAACCTTAGATAGGTTATTGAATATATTAGACACAAAATCATAGATGAATAAAGCTAAAAAATTCCATTAATTTTTAACAAATAAGGCATATACACCATAGAAACTAGGGGATTTAAGGTTCCCTATATTGAATAAAGAGGTTTTTATTTTTTCCATAGTACACTCATAATCCTTAAAGGGGGAGGGTGGGGGAGGGGGGAAGAGGACAATGTTAAAAAGAAGGCTATTGGGGCAGGAATTAGAATAGATGTTCTTGAAATAATTCACTGTCAGGATTTAGAGTTTCTATGGATCAAATTCCCAATTGTTCAAATCATCTTAAAGGCTTTAATAAGGTTTCCTTGCCTACGGATTAAAACAACTTTATGAAAAAAAAAATGTTATTCCTATCACTCAACTTAAGTCAATTGGATTTATAATCATGGAACCAAAACATTTTTTCCTGATCAATAGTCTTTTGATACTTTATCCACAAGGTCTTCATAAGTTTACTCAGAAAGGGATTATCACCTAAGGCTAGTTTGCAAGAGATATCCCTAATTTTATTCAGTAACTGCCTCTTCCTTTTAAAAATATTCCCAAAGGTATTTATGTTATGTTCTTTTGGAAACATGTTATATTTTCAATTCAAGATTTATAAGTTATTTAAGAGTTTTTAACTTGGTTAGAAAAGTCATTATGATAGATCTATAGAGCTAGAAATTTAAAAGGCTTGCTATAGGACTCAAAACTATCCTTTTCTCTAACTTTTAGCTAGAGGCCATCATGGTTAGATTTTAAGAGAGGAATGTAGATTAAAGAGCTATTCTAGAACAACATTCTCTAAGAGTACAACTACTTTATCAATTCTTTTCCTATTATCTCCTTTGTACCAAGAGTACAACTACTTTGTCAATTCTTAATAACTACGTCAACCTTGCTAGAGCTGATTCTAAGTTTAAAAAGAGCAATAAAATTTAATTTATATATTCTAATTAAATCGTTAACAGGTTTATAAAAAGTCTTGTTGCTAGCACTCCTACAGTTCTAAAAGAGGCAAGTCATAAGCTTGTTTGGTGTGTAAAAATCGATCACTGGGTAAGTGTATCCATTGTTAGAGTAATATTGTGAAAAATAGAGTACCAAGTGTCGTATCTACAGAGACTGTTTTTAAGAATTACTTCCTTAATTACCCAATTGTTAATGAATATGAGAGAGAAATTGTGTTGATAAAATTACTGAAAGAAGAAAATAATAAATTAAAAGAAACAGATTTCTTATGATAATAAAATATAGAAAAGTATGACTAAGTGTATTCAAGAGAAATAAGCGAGTATTTAGATTGTAAATCCTCCTAAGTATCCAAATAACTAAAATTTTCCTTCAATTACTTAGTTCTAATCCCTTATCGTTGCAAAAAATTCTCAATTAAACTAATATCTTTTTCAAGGATAATGATTCCTAACCCTCGGTTGATCAATCAGAATCTCTTCCTTAATTAATACTCCTATGTTGCATTAAGTTTATTATGAATTTCATAATTAGGGTTATTTCTAATACAGAAAA